ACGACATTTCTGTTGCTTCAAGTCTTTTCATCTGAGTAAATTATCTGGCATTCACTGCCATATAGAAGGTTCTTTTTTTTCTTCTTCTTCTTCTATGTACCGTGTCCCTTCTGTACGTTGGTGATCATAGCACTCCACAATTTCCTGCGCTTTGCAGCTGTTAGTAAATTTTGTCTTTTTGCTATCTGTCCTAAACCCTATTCTGCCAACCATTTGCACAAGATCTTCAGGTAGGTTATTCACTCTTTCTTTTGCCTCTCTTGCCTTCAATATGTCTTGTGAGTGTCAAATTTTCTAAGCCTTCTTTCCTCATTATGTGCCCTAGAAATTTCAACTGTCTCATTCTGATGTTAAGTACAAGTGTAACAAATCAAAAATAAAATCTATCTATCTATCTATCTATCTATCTATCTATCTATCTATCTATCTATCTATGTATATAAGTCTCTTCATTATCTATCTATCTATCTATCTATCTATGTATATAATATATATATTATCTATATATATATATATATATATATATATATATATAAAGGCTCTTCATTATCTATCTCTATCTATCTATATATATAAGGCTCTTCATTATCTATCTATCTATCTATCCATCTATGGCTCTTCATTATTGTTGAAGCTTGAATAAGCATGGAATAATAATAATACAACACAAAATGTACGTAACAAAATGTATTGAAACAATGAAAAAAGGTACACAATATTTACAGGTAGTTTTGGTATATTCTTGGGAAGACTGTTCCTGCAGAATGGGTTGACTAAGTCGCAGTCGGGCAGAGTCTCTGGGTTCGATCTCTTAATCTTCCGTCGTCTTCCGGTACCAACCCATATTTATATGGTCGGTACTCCACTTATGTAAATTAGGTGTATCATACACAACAATTATCTATCTATCTATCTATCTATCTATCTATCTATGTCAGTTTCTTCACTATCTGAATATAAGTTTCCTTTTTAGAGAAAATGGAAGCAATGAGATTTCCTTCGTAACAAAGAAAAGAATATCCATCATCTTATATGGCAGTGAATGCTGAACCATTTCTGCACGGATGAGGAAAATTCTGGTGAAGCAGAAATGGGGTTCTTTAGAAAGATACAGAGAATTCCATGATAGCGAGTAAGCAACAAGGAAAGAAAATGGCAACAAACAGAACACCTAGGAAAAGACAGCTGAAAATTCTTGAGCACATAATGAGGAAGGACGGCTTAGAAAACTTAACACTCACGCGACATACTGAAGTCAAGAGAGATAGACGAAGTCAACAAGTCACTTAACTGACGAGCTTGTGTGAATGGAAGGCAGAAATGGGGAGGGGGCGGAGCCTTAGGAAAGGTAGAAGTAACTGTTACTAGTCTACGAGATAGGAAGTTGTGGAGAGTCATGTCCTGTCCCGAAGGTCGGCAGTACGTAGAAAATATTACTGGATGCTAGCTTACTTATTCTTGTTATTAATACTGCTGTCACATCCGATCTGGTGCTTTTGCTATACATTTAGAGATTCCTGATAAAATCCAAAGAAGAAACTGCAATGTTATCGGTCCTGACCTGGCATCTCGCCTTCAATCACTTACCCGCAGCCGTAATGTAGCTTCCCTGTGTCTTTGTCTATAAATAATTTAATAGTAGTTGTTCTGGTGAACTTTCCCCAATGGTATCTTAGATTTTATGAATTTAAACGCAAGACTAGATTGGCGGCAGGATATCATTATTAGACACTTGAAATTGATGCAACCGCAAGTTCTATGCTAACAGTTTCTTCTGTCGCATTTCTCATTTGTGGAACTCTCTTCCAGCTTTTTACTTCCAAGTCAGATTTGATATTGCCGCAATGTTTCAGATATAGTGGTAAGGTCTAATCTTCTTACACTTGAAATGCCTACATGTAACCGCAAGTTCTATGCTAACAGTTTCTTCTATCGTACTTCTCGCTTATGGAACTCTCTTTAGGTTTCTTACTTTGCAGTCAGCTATGATATAATGGCAAGGTCTTATCATTTTATATCTAACCATTTCAAGTGTAAAATGCTGAGACCTTGCTGCCAATCTAGTACTGCGCTCAAATTAATAAAGTCTAGGTCCCAAAGAGGAAAGTTCATCAGAACAATTACCACGAGTAGAAGCAAAATCAGCAGAGGCCGGATTAAGATAGCAAATTATTGGCCAGAAAAGTCGTGGGCGTGGATTTCAGACACTATTGAATTCAATTTTTCCCAAGTTTTGGATATAAGAGGACCGCTATAATTTTGAAGAGTCGACACTTTAGAAATGGTTCAGCTCAATAGATAGGTCGCCGATTGATGCCAGGAGGATAAATTTAGTCTTCTGTTCTTGGTTTCAGCAAAAGTGTTGGGTGGCTGAATATTTATATAGGTGAAAAACTGAATATATTTAGAGTACGATAGTCTTCGCGGTTGTAGGACTCGTAATGTCAGCCTTTATACGTTGATATAAGAGTCCTTAGACTAAATACCATGTTGATATAAGATCCCTGGTCTAAATCTTATAAGAGCTCTTGGACTAAATCTTAAGTTGATATGAGATGCCTTGGACTAAATCCTACGTTGATATAAGAGGCCTTAGACTGAATCCTACGTTGATATAAGAGTCCTTGTCTAAATCCTTCGTTTATATAAGTGTTCTTGGATAAAAAACTTATGTTGATATAAGAGCTCCTGTCCACATTGTACATCGATAAAAAAGGCGTTGGAATAAATTGTACGTTGATATACAACATTTGAACTGAATCCTACGTTGATATGAGAAGCCTTTAACTAAATCTTTCTTTGATATAAGAATCCTTGTCTACATTATACGTTCTTATAAGAGGCCTTGGACAAAATTCTATGTTGATATAAGAGGCCTTGTCGACATCCTACGTTGATATTTTGGAATAAATCGTACGTTGATATAAGAAACCTTGGACTGAATCCAACGTTGATATGAGAGGCACTATTAACTAGATCCTTCTTTGATATGAGAGCCCTTCTCTACATTATACGTTAATATAAGAGACCTTGTGCAAAATCCTAAGTTGATATAAGAGGCCTTCGACTAAATTCTACGTTGATATAAAGGGCTTCGGATGAAATCTTACGTTGATATAGAAGGACTTGGACTGTATCCTTCGTTGATATAAGAGACCTTGTACAAAATCCTATGTTGATATAAGAGCTTTTGTATACATTCTACGTTGATATAAGGGGCTTCGGATTAAATCTTACGTTGATATAGGAGGACTTGGACTGTATCCTACGTTGATATATGAGACCTTGTACAAAATCCTACGTTGATATAAGAGCCTTTGTCTACATTCTACGTTGATATAAGGGGCTTCAAATTAAACTTACGTTGATGTAGGGGGTCTTGAACTGTATCCTTCGTTGATATAAGAGACCTTGGACTAACTCCAAATGCCTAAATTGTTCATCAATTCGTGATATACATACCTTGAATTCAGAAGGCACAATTAGCTTGGGTGTATCAAGACCCATGAACATATCGATAGCCACCATGCAGAATATGGAAATCAAGACCCCAAAGTCACTAATGGTACGTCGTACCTAAAAAGAAAACAAAATCAACCAAAATAATTGTAAGTATTCTGTGATGAGTGATGAGGACATGTTGCTAGTTTATCTCCGGAAAATTTTATTCATTGATAAACGTATGAAATAAGAGAATGTAAAAAGCAAATAATAATAATTACTGGAACTCAGAAACAAAGGAATTACAAGAAATTAAACTCTGACTCACATATTTTTTTCGAAACAACTTTTGTTCAATAATATCATCAAGTTCTGTCTATCCATTTTTTATTGACGTGTTCAAATTTACGAAGAAGTATTTTTTCAACAGGTCGGCAAACATACCAAATTTCATTTTTGTTTTTGCCCGATTACTTTCAAATATTGCTACATTATTTAATATATATTTTTATTTTTAGTTTAAGGTGTAGATACATCGAATGTCAAAGATTGAAAGGGAAATGCTGAGCATCGGTGTATTTTTTTTGTATAGAGGACTGATATCATCCCCCAAAATTTTATGGTCTTGTAGATGCTCTTTTAGAGCTAAAGGCATCACTGTGTACAAGCTTGTCATTCATATATATATATATATATATATATATATATATATATATATATATATATATATATTCTTAAAAAATAAAAACAAAATACTAAGGAACCCCGGATTATGCACCCAACGTATTTCTTTTTTCTATTTTCTGCATACCTACGCTTTTACTTTTATATATATATATATATATATATATATATATATATATATATATATATATATATATATATATATATATAGGGTGTCCATAAAGTTCGTGTTCACTTTAAAAAATTATAACTAATGAACTGCAAAATCGTATTACTCTTTGTATTGCTAATGATGGAGGACATGTGGAAACTTAAATAAAATTTCAATAAAACCTTAAAAAATATAGATTTACTTCTTTCTAATCCTTTTTACAAATTATGAAGTATAAGAGAAAATTTTATTATCATTATTATCATTATTGTTGTTGTTTAAAAGAATTTGTACATACTTTCATCCTGGTTCGTACGGAAAACATTTGCCAACTGATTTACAATAATGCCTGAAATCATATTAGTTATTTTAGCTATACTTAAAACTAGGTACATTAAACTTTATAACATTTTTACAGATTATTTCTATCGCAAATACAATAAAGTTATAGAGTTATACACGAACTTTATGGACACACACTATATATATATATATATATATATATATATATATATATATATATATATATATATACATGCAGTGAAGCAGAAATACCTCCACATATACTTCCCAGAAATACTTCTCACGTAATGGTAAGCTGGATGAAGACACCGGTGCATGTCTTCTTATTACGTGGAAGGTATTTTCTGAGAGGTATATATGGGGTGTATTTCTGCCGTATCCTGTATACACTAGTAGATAAGAGTGTGTAGTTCCAATTAAATTAGGTTGGACTTACGATCTGAGGGAAGAAACCGCTCGTTCGGAACCTCTCTATTCCTCTTGCCACAATATACGTTCCTAAAAAGAGTAAAACAGACAAAAGAAAAACATCTGGTACATAAGACCCTTCCTCAACACAATTGCTGCAGTCGGTGGGGACCAAGTCTCCCTCCGTCCCGTTCAGTTGGAGGAGTGTCGTCGAATTGGTGACCATGACCTCGCGGGCTGCCTCTTTCCACAAGACAGCCGGTTCTATGTGGGGGTAGGATTGAGATTCTGACGCGGATATTTGGCTTGTGACGAACAGTCCCTGACCGGCACCATCGCCGCTGACGTTGGTATTCGTTTCGTTAACGTCCTCTCCGTCTATGGGGCGCTGTTCGACTTGGTTTAGGGTGGTCGTCATGCATCTGAAAGACCGGCTACCCTGTCGATTGACGGGGTAATTGCTGTTGATCTCAAACATTTTTTGGTGGGCTTCAAAGATGAATATGAGAGCGATTAAACAAGCAAAAGTCTCCTCGGTGAACCTCGTCACGTAACGAATTAGCATGCTGAGATCAAAAGCAACGATAATCATCAAGATCAGAAATGTCCACAGACCAATCCACACCCGAATCGACATAAAGTCCCAGCCGTAATCTCTGGAAAAAAAAAAACACACATATATATATATACATAGATACATATATATAAAGAGACGTTTATGAACAGAGAATACATAGATAAATATGAGCAACCTGAGATTAATAAATAAATAGATATGAACAGACATAGATATATAGATAGCTAACGATCAGACGGTGATAGATAGAAAGATGGATGTGAACAGTCTAAGATAGATATGAACTGATTGAGATATATAGGTATGAACAGACTGATATATATATATATATATATATATATATATATATATATATATATATATATATATGCTATATCTAAGAGTTAAAGTGCTCAATATCAGCGATAGAGCATATGTAAAAATAAAAGTGAACATTGAATCCACACCCAGCGGCGACAGTCGTTACCATGCTTATAGGTAATAATCATATATATATATATATATATATATATAAAATATAGCCTTAAGATTGTGCTATATTTATGAGATAGAGCGTGTGTAAATATAAAATGTATATATAATATATATATATATAATATATATAAAATATATATATATAATATATATATATATAATATATATATATACATATAATATATATATATATATATATATATATATATATATATATATACATATATAATATATATATATATACATATATAATATATATATATGCATATATATATATATATATATATATATAAAGTTTCAAAAATTTCTAGCGTCGGGTTTGTCTTTAAAAACAAAAATAACAGCGATAAAAATAAAAGCGTTGGAAAACAGAATGAGATCGGCTTATTTGTGCGTCTAGACCCGTCGGACGTCAGAAAACTTAAAATTTAGTTTTTCAATCTAATTAATTATAACCGACGTTTACGTTTCTATTTTTACCCGCGCCCGACATTTAAATATAATTTAATAAGAACATTTTTTCATTTTGTCCGCCAGTTGCTCAATAGATAGCTAGATAGATAGATAGATATGAACACAAAGGTACATAGAGAGATAGATAGACAGATAATGAACATGATTGAGATAGATAGATAGATAGATAGATAGATAGATAGATAGATAGATATGAACAGGCTAAGATAGATATACAGATTATGAACAAATTGAGATAGATAGATAGATAGATAGATAGCGCTAGCTAGTGCTACAAATTTTCAAGTATTAAAAAAATCTGATAAAAATTACAGAAAATAACTGTAATGAAAAACATCACGAAAATAAAAATAATAATGAAAAACTTTATCGAGTAAAATTCGGGTACTTACTTGCAAAAACTGTAAAGTATCGATTCCATTATCAGCATTGGACCGGTGCTTCCCAAAATATTTAGCGGTTGTCCCGCGAACAAAGCGAATACAACTCCTGTTATACCAGCAGCGAGCAAACATTCCATTGATGCCTGCAAGTTGAAGTTTTTATTTGGATAAAAGCTATAGAAATGTATTTTACATTAAAAGGAACTCTCTGAAAATACATTTACATAAATATGTTACCTCTGAATGACTTCAAGGATAACATCAAAAAGGAGGGGTCCAAGAGAACAAAGGACATTGTATTTAAGATTTATGCAGCATTTTGAGGATGTGCTGTAATCAACCTATTGGTAGATACACTGAATAAATTGTATTGTTTAAGAATATAGATTCATTGCATCAATTTATACGTTTATGAAATGTAAGCGAATTTCGAAGGTCGAAATGATTTTTATCTATTCTCCGCTGTGGATATATTCTTCAGAATTTTTTCTGGTAGTAAATTCCATTATTCCCCATGTATAATACACCTTCATCTATAATACGCACCCACAAAATTGTGGGAAAATGTTTCTACTCACGCATAATACGCACCTCTTGTTTGGTAATCAAACCCTATAAATTATACCTCTCCAATTTCATTACGGCCATCGTTTCCTACACGTATTAAGACATGGTTTTAAACACAGAATAATATTATTAATTTATCTTATTATTTTTTTTTAGAAAAAATGCGTATTATACATGGGGAATTGCGGTAATTTGCACGTATATTAATTGTTTTTTTTAACTAATAAATAAAAAGAGCACGGAAAGACGTGTGAAATATTGTGAACACATGATACTAAACTAGTTGACCTACCTAGCATAGCTCGGGTTTTTAAAAAATAATGAAAAATCAATTTAAAATTATCGTATTTGATGGCGAATAGCTTCTTCCTCCACTTTTTTTAATTACCAAAATGACTCAAGAACGTCTGTCATGTCTCATACTCAAAGGAGAACTATTTGGCATGTTTAGTTTTTAAGCAGATGTAGTATATCAGTATTTGTACCTGACCAAATTCCACAGTTCTATATTGATTGATCTGTTTTTAAGATTTATCAACCTTTTGCGGGTTATTTAAAGCCGGAAATATTTTTTAGCTCCTAAGATTATTTTGAGATAATAATGATTTTACCGATATAAGTCCTACTAATTCGCTCATTGCCAGTTAATTAAAGATACCGTGACTATTTTCGTTGAAGTAAATGTGTATTCAATGATATCGTATATAAGCAATAAACTCTATGTTGATTTTTTGAACATAACTTAGATGTGGCACAAGGCCGAATGTCTGGGGCACCCGGTGAGGACCAAACCCTCCACTCAGTCGGAATTGTTGCGAATCATTCCAACAATAAACTGTATGCATCCAAAAATTAATGAAAAACCATAGTCTTTTCTTAAGAATATCTTTCTTTAAATTATGTCCTGTATTGCGTCTTCCTGTACATGAGTATCACTTATCTGAGAAGAATGTAGATTCATGATTAAAAGTGAAGCTAGTGATTTCCTTTCTGTTGACAAAGGTTGACTGATATTTTTTTACAGTTTATCAACCTTTGCAATGTCATTTAAAGCCAGGATGTATTTTTAAATTGTAAGAATTGTTTTGAAGATAATAACGATTTTACTGATACAAGTCCCACTAATTAACCCGTAGCTGGAGGGATCGAGACGAGTTGAATTCATACCTTTACAAAGGGTATTTATGCGTAAGTGAATATAACGAACCCGATTGGAATTGAAACTCAGCTCTCCGATTAACAATTCCGAGCCGTTCTCAATTACACCACCCACACATCTAAGCTTACAGCATCTGGTATTACCAAGCGGTCACACATCGAACTACAGACCAGGCTCGACGTTGCTTAACCTCGGTAATCGTAAGAGAATCGGTTTCAACGTGATACGGACGTAAACAATGATGTAATATTGAATAAAGTAGATAGTTGGTCGGTTGAATGTCTTGAGCATATGGCCATAGCCACATGACACAAGGTTGAACCTTTAGATTTAATTAACTTTTGAATTCAGAATTGCCATTCCTCTAGATTGGTTGTCAACAAATACCAGAAAGTCCAGTCTGTTCTTTTATTTTACCCAAAGATGGTAAACAAGAGTTGGATTCATATATTTTCCAATGGCATTTCTATGAGCGGAAAATATGTGGAGTAGTTCTTATATGACATTGAATATGTCGAGAGGATCTTATATGCCATTAAACACGTGAAGGAGTTCTTATACGCCATTAAATATGTGGAGGGGTTGTTATATGCAATTAAATATGTGGAGGGGTTGTTATATGTTTTTGAATATGTGGAGGAGTACTTATATGGCATTAAATATGTTAAGGAGTTCTTATATACCATTAAATATGTGGAAGTGTTCTTGTATGCCATTGCTTATGTGGAGGGGTTGTTATATGTCTTTGAATATGTGGAGTTCTTATATGACATTAAATATGTTAAGGGGGTCTTATATACCATTAAATATGTTAAGGGGTTCTTATATACCATTAAATATGTGGATGGGTTCTTAAATGCCATTAAATATGTGGAAGAGTTCTTATATGCCATTGCATATGTGGAGGGGTTCTTATATGCCATTAAATATTTGGATGAATTCTTTTATGCCATTAAATATAAATCGGGTAAAGGTCTTTAGAAACTCACACATAGACATTAATTCATTGCTTTAAGAATGCTTAATATTTTATCACGCTTATCTCATATAATGAATCTGATTACAGTTTTTGACTTACCATATTATAGTCGGTGGCTTGGCCCAGTAATCCCCCGAATGTAACGTTTGGACTGAGTGTCGCCAAGAAGATATAGATTGTAGTCGCAAAACATTGGAGATGTGTAGAGTCGGTAAAATCACTCCAATACCATCCCGCCTTTCTTTTTATGTCGTCAGTCAAGCCGCCAAATAAACTTTTAAAAGACGGAAACAAATCATGAAATTAGGACGAAGTTTATTTTGAATTTTGGAGTCATCAAAGGAAAGAAAGAGAGAACCAAAAGCTTGAGAAAGGTAGACAAAAATAGCAAACAAAAAAAGTAAAAAACAAAAAAACATAACTAAAAACAAAACAAAAAAAAAACAACATCGACCGGGTAGCTTATACAGGGGTCGGCAACCAACGGCACACGTGCCACACGTGGCACGCCAAGCAATTTCCAATGGCACGCTCCAGCAAATGACATCACGAAGTCTGAACAATGCAAAGAAGATATTTAGCTGTTTCAATTTTAATATATACTAAAGTATATATACTATATATTACTATATAAAAGTATTTTAGAACAGGTATATTGACCTTGACTTGTATAAAAATACGCATGCTTTTTGCACACTGAATGATTTTAAAAACCTAAGTCGGTATATTGTCAGCAAAAGTTTGCCGACCCCTGGCTTATACCGTTAACTGAACTGTTACTGGCGCCAGTGTCTAGCATCAAAGACTAGATAAAGATCAGAATAATGAATGATGATTCTTAAGACACCTACTTAGTGACTTGCCGCAGCATGATCTTTCTGTCCTGTTTCTACATATCTGGGATTGTGCCACACTGAGTGGTGTTTAGCAAATATCCTCACCTGCTCGCTCG